CCTCAAGCCTTTTCCTGGCTTCCTTTTATACTTCTTTTAAAATTTCTTTTAAGTAAAAACAACTAATCGTGGAAAGAGTCCAGATGATGTTTGTTCCCTATGATTGTTCCCGCAGCTATGTACAACGTGGGGTTGGGTCTCAACATCAGGTATAAAATGGAGCGAGTTTACAAACTTGGAGGAGGCAAGGAAAAAGCAAAGACAGACAGGCGAGAGCAGTAGAAATCTGGACCAAAATCTTAAAGAGAAATTTAAAAAGTGCTATAAAACCCCTCGGCAGGAATACCATGCAGTTAAGAAACACAAAACCCAGTCAATTACACAGATCATCTAAAACAGGAATTTTGTCTTTTATTTAATTAAAAAAAGGTTGTTTGTTTTTAATAGAAAAAAGCTAAAATTGTAAGGTTCAGGCCACCGGGCGGCAGCAGCTCGAGGAGGCAGGAGGGTGAGGCGCTGGCATCTCCCAGCTCCAGCCCCTCGAATGGGCTCCTGGTGCTCCCAGGGGCCACGGGCACCTCTGGGGGCAACCGGCACCTTTGGAGGTGGCAGGCACCCCTGGGGGTGACGGGCTCCTATGGGGTGGCAGGCACCCCTGGGGGTGACGGGTACCCTTAGGGGCAGCAGGCACCTTTGGGTGTGACAGGCACCCTCGGGGGTGGCAGGGGGATGAGTTAGTGCAATCCTTGGACCCGTCCCCCGGGGGACAGAGGGGCTCAGCCCACAGACGCTGGCAGCCCTGGGGGACGCTCGGTCCCCAGTCCCCCCGGGAGAGAGCTTGGGGACACGGGGTGCTTGGTGTAACCCAGGAGGAACCCATCAGGGCCCGTCCCCTCCAGCCAGGTAAGACCAGCGAAAGCCCCCCACCATGCACCACCCCGGGGTACGCCAGCTGGCATGGCCCTCGCCCTTCCCATCCCCCTCGGGGATTCCTCCTGATTTACACCACAGCGTGCCACTTGCCTCCAGCACGCCCCGGCTGAGGTTACAGGGAAAGGGGCAGCCCCACACCGGGAAAGGATGGGGCAAACCCAAGGGAAACAGGCTTGGGGACGCCTGGCAGCACAGCCCTGGGCGAGCCGGTGACAGGGACAGTTTGGTCAACATTTTGACGGCTCTGTGGGGGTGTCAGAAAAGAAAGTAAGGCCCAGCCAAGGCTGCCTGCAGGCCGTGCAAAGCGAGAGGGGTGCGTGAGCCCTCACCACCCATGGGACTCCTCAGGGCACCCGGGCACAGCATTGCCTGGGCACGGGGCAGCCCCCAAAGGTGCATCGTGCCCTTTCCTGCCCCGGGCACCGGAGCCCTGAGGAGGGCGAGAGGGGCTGGAGAGGAGAGCCGGGTCCCCACCGCCGGCCTCGAGCGGCTGCTGAGCCAGTGTCTCGTACAATCAGAAAAGAAGTCAGCACAGCACAGTTATCACAGAGTACCTGAAAAAAAAAAAAAAAAAAAAAAAAATTGCTGCCTTTATATAAACCAGATTTCACACGTGAACTTTTTCATGCAAGTCCTTCTTTAAAAATATCTAAATCTATCTGCCGAAAAAGACTGGACAATCAGTTACATGATCTGGAATGGCAATTCGTATATTTTTGATGGTAAGTGATATTTATGTGTGATTTTCTTACACAATAATCTCTAAGTACTTTACAGGATAAATAAATTACTACTGACC